AGAGAGAGAGAGAGAGAGAGAGAGAGAGAGAGAGAGAGAGAGAGAGAGAGAGAGAGAGAGAGAGAGAGAGAGTCACCGCACGACTCACCAAATGCAAAACATACAAAAATTATGGGCATGTATCTTTTCGTGTTCTTGCGGAAGGTTTATTCTCACTTTGCACATGTGGTGAGTGGTGCGGGGAGGCCCACACCTCCCCCCCCCCCAAACACACACACACACAGGGAGAGAGAGAGACAGAGAGAGAGAGAGAGAGAGCGAGAGAGCGAGCGAGCGAGCGAGCGAGAGAGAGAGAGAGAGAGAGAGAGAGAGAGAGAGAGAGAGAGAGAGAGAGAGAGAGACGGGATGATCCCTTTTTCCCGGTTAAGTGCTTTCTTTTTTGTTACTCTTTCTTTTCTTTTCTCTTTGTTTTTTTCTCTTCTTGTTGCAGGGCAAAGGGTGTATGCAGTTAATCGTGGTGGCTATGAGGCTAGTTGCACCACACGGCATCCGCCAACATTCTGAAGGGATGGATATGGATTTTGTACTTTTTCATTCATGATGTTGATGGATGGCGAGTGGTGCGACTAGGTCCTGTGTATTGTGTGAAGTTGTGAGCATGTTCGGGTGGAAGATTCCTCCCGAAAATGGGATCGTTACCAATTAAGTATTTTTTGTTATTAACTTATTTATTATATTCAATGTACTGTGAAGTAGAAGCACTGAACGCAATCACTACCTTTCGGTTATCAAAATTATGACTGTATTTATTATCGTGTTTTGAATCGGCATCGACTTGTATTCTGCGGAGGTAGCCCAAAAAAGAGGCGCAATTATAAATTCGTAAGAAAGGAGGATGTAAGGTGGTTTGACTGTAGAAGAATATAGCTTAGTTTGGAATAAAAAACGAGATTCCACCAGGATCTGAAGTCGTGCGCTGTGTACTAACTAACAGTTGTGTGTACCATTTAGCCACATGGGCGGGCTATGGCTTCTAGTCCTCAAAGGAAAGAAGACCTGTTGAAAATAGCAAAAAGTGGCAATCGAAAATGATAGGGCAATAATTTCGGAACGAGGAAAAAAAGGGTTAACTGTTAATCGTCATCATTGCCCCGGCCTTCGGTTAGGGAAAACGAAAAGATTAGGGAAAAAAGAGGAAAACTTTCTGCCCGCGATGATACATGGGATATTGATGGTGGAAGTCTTGTGTGTGTGGGTGAGTCCTCGTTCGTTGTATCCGTCACGAAATCGGGACGCGACGTTTTTATCTCTTCTTCTCTTTCTTAGGTCTTTTTCTTTGTTCACTTTTTTTTCTGAGGGGGCGAGGGTGCCAGTCCTTCCTCTAGACCCTCTCCCTTACAACACTTCTTCGATTTCCGTCCCTACCTTTTTGCCCCCGGCCTTTATCTCTTCTCTTTTTTCCATAAAAGGCGCGAGCCCTTCATGTTCTTGTATCCGGCAGGATTTGGACTCCTGGTCCGCTTATCAGCAGGCAGGTATAGTCGACAGAGGTTTTTCGCTTGTTTCCGTGGCTACAGTAAAAAACCGTTCTGACTGTACCTGCCTGCTGATAAGCAGAAAAGGAGTGAAAATGCTGCCTGGTGGGGGCTGAAAAGTGGCACACACACTCTTGCTGTTGCATGGTTGTTTGTTGACTCTTTTTGTTTTTGGGATGTGTGTACTCCTGAAGGCACCGCCAGGCAGGTAGAGTAGTCAAGACACTCAAAACAGTTTCTTCGACTCTTCCCCTTGAGAAGTAAGGTGGTAGTGTCGCTAAAGGAAGTTTCTATAATGTATATGACTGGAGTTTATGGTGAGATTCAGTCGAGAAAGATCTCATCGTATTTCCATTTCGATATATATGTGACGATATCTATATTCGGGACTGGATCTGACGGTAAACTGTCTCTCTGGACTGCATCTGACCGTAAGCTGCAGTCATATACTTTCTAAAAATTTGCGCGGTGAGCGGCATGCAACTCTTTCGTCTCTTTGTATAGTGTTTATATAAGATGAGTAGGTGAAACTCCGAAGTCTGTCACAGCCCCTCGTTTGATGTCGTCTTCTCCCTCTCTGCCTACGGTTTACCGGGTTGCTATATACATATTGTCATGTCGAACTTCTCCCTGGTAAACCGTAGGCAGAGAGGAAGGGAGAAGAGGACAACAAACGAGGGGGTGTGACAGACTGTTTCGTCGGAGTTCAACCAATATCTATATATAATATAATATGTATGCTTATATGTATAATATATAGTCAAACAGAGCTGCCCGGTAAACCGTAGTAGGCAGAGAGGGAGGGAGAAGAGGACAACACACGAGGGGCTGTGACAAACTGTTTCGTCAGAGTTTCACCGACTTATCAGGAGGCTGAACCCTATATATATTATATCTATATATCGTCAGGAGGCTNTGATATGACGAGGCCCGTAGTAGGCAGAGCGGGAGGGAGAAGAGGACAACAAACGAGGGGCTGTGACAAACTGTTTCGTCAGAGTTTCACCGACTCATCAGGAGGCTGAACCCTATATATATTATATCTATATATCATCAGGAGGCTGAACCATATATGATATATAACTTTGTGATATGACGAGGCCATGCTTGACCTCAAAAAGAATAAAGCTTCTCTCCAAAGAAAAATAAGAAGGAAAAAAGAAAAGGAAAGATTATGGGATAATTATCCATGTCCTCCTTGTTGCGTCTTCATCTGCATCCTCCGTTATCACCATTATGGTGACTCTTCTACTGCTCTCCTCCCAAACATTACCGAGTCTCATATATGTCTTGAGGATCCTTTTGTGCTTCGATTCATATTCTACTTACCTAGTTTTTGTTTTTTTAAGGATTTTGTGCTCATATTCGTTACGAGGCTAAACTTGATTCAAATGTTTTCAGGATGGCAAGGAGTATGTCTCGCGTGATATG